CAGTTTGAGAATGATAAGCCGTGCTAAGGGTCAATCTAGTGCCCAAGGCACTCCACAAACGCTGCCACAATCTAGCAGTAAAGCGTGGATCTCTATCTGAGACGATCAACACTGGGACCCCGTGCAACCTCACTATGTCCCGAATATACAAGTCGGCAAGATGATCTACTGAATCTCTCACGTGCATAGGGATAAAGTGCGCCAACTTAGTCAACCGGTCTACAACTACCCAAATAGCATCACTACCCCGCTGAGTCCTCGGAAGACCTACAACGAAGTCCATAGTCACATGCTCCCACTTCCACTCGATAATAGGCAAGGGTTGTAACAAACCTGCTGGCCTCTGATGTTCGGTCTTCACTTGTTGACAAGTAAGGCACTTAGACACGAAAGCAGCGACATCTCTCTTCATACCCCTCCACGAAAACTGGCGACCCAAATCTCGATACATCTTAGTGCCTCCCGAGTGCACCGCAAGGCGTGAATGGTGAAACTCTCGGAGTACCTCCTCTCGGCAAGACTCTAGCACAAACAAACGGTCTCAGTATCTCACACTCAGGTCGGGATACACCGCCAAACCCTTCTCAACCTTCCCACTAAAGATCTTCTCTCGAAGGGATTCTACCTCAAGGTCACCTCTCTGTGCCTCTAACACTCTAGTCACAAGTGTAGGCTGCGCAACAACAGAAAACAAAGGCCGCAGCCTCAACAGATTCGCCCAGAAGCAAATCAAACTCCCCAAGTGCCCCCAACATCTCCCACTCCCGGATGGCTATACAAGCTACATCACTAATGGATTTCCTGCTAAGGGCATCAGCCACAACATTGGCCTTTCCCGAATGATAATGCAACTCAAAGTCGTAATCCTCAATAAACTCCATCCACCTCTTCTGCCTCAAGTTCAAGTCTTTCTGTGTAAACAGATATTTTGGACTCTTATGATTCGAGAGCACCTCAAATCTCTCCCCATAAAGGTAGTGCCTCCAGATTTTCAAGGCAAAGATCACAGCTGCTAGTTCTAAGTCATGTGTAGGGTAATTCTTCTCGTGTTATTTTCAGCTGACGTGAGCCATAGGCCACCACTTTCCCCTCTTTCATCAACACACAACCCAAACCCTCTCGTGAGGCATCACAATAAACTGCATAACCCAACCCTCTCTCCGGAATAATCAAGACCGGAGCGGTGGTCAATCTAACTTTCAGCTCTTGGAACGACTTTTCACAAGTCTCACTCCACACAAATTTGACTCCCTTCCGAGTCAATCTAGTCAACGGCGAAGCTAGCCGGGAGAAATCTTTCACAAACCGACGGTAATACCCAGCTAATCCTAGAAAATTACGGATCTCAAACACACTCTTAGGCTGTGCCCAATCTTGCACTGCCTCAATCTTGGATGTATCAACAGACACCCCTTTCCCGGAAACCACATGGCCTAAGAACTTGACTTCTCCTAGCCAGAACTCACACTTCCCAAACTTGGCATACAGCCTATGGGCTTTAAGTAACTCAAGTACCACTCTCAAGTGTTCCCCGTGCTCCTCTTCAGAAGGTGAATAAATCAGAATGCCGTCCACGAAGACGACTACAAAGTGATCTAAGAATTCCCGGAATATTCGGTTCATCTAATCCATAAACAATGCCGGTGCATTGGTGAGCCCAAAAGGCATCACCAGAAACTCATAATGGCCATACCGCGTACGGAATGCCGTCTTGGGAATATCCTTCTCCTTGACCCTCAACTGGTGGCAACCTGATCTCAAGTCTATCTTAGAGAAACAACGGGAACCCTTCAACTGGTCAAACAAATCATCAATACGGGGCATAAGGTACTTATTCTTGACCGTAGCCCGATTCAACTTCCAGTAGTCGATACAAAGTCTCAAGGCACCATCTTTATGGGTTCAATTAGTCAAAACCCCCCCTTTTATAAAAATTACATAAAGACCCCAAACTTTCTCAAAATTACCAAACAACCCCCAACATATCAAAATGTCAAAATTTAAAGACAAAGCTCATAAGAAGGAGTAGGATATCCCTACCTCGAAGTTAGAGCTCAAATGGAGAAGAAGATCAAAAACCAAAGTGCTCCAAATCCACAATTTTTCAGATTAGAACGAAGCCCTCAACACCCTCTATCTTTTATACAAAGAACTTAGGATAGAAACTCACTATAGGTAGATCAATCCCTAGAGAGAAGACAAGTATAGAGAGAGAGAGAGTCGGATCTAGGGTTTGCCAAAGAAAGAAGATGAAAAAGTGATGTTCAATCCCGTTGCTGCCTACTGATATAACACAGGCTCGCTCGAACGAAGGATTGGTTGCTTGAGCGACCAGACACAAAGAACTCTCACTCGAGCGCAGAAAGCCTCGCTCGAGCCAACAATTCGAAGCTTTAGGTCTGCAACCCAGAAGCACGCTCGAGCGAAGAAACCCAAAACATGCTCGAGCTAAGAAACACAGCTCTCAGGTCAAAATGAGACGCAGACACACGCTCGAGCGCAAGACTTCTCGCTCGAGCCACCAGACACAAAACTCAACTCTCGCTCGAGCGAAGGAACCCTGGCTCGCGCGAAGAATCTAAAACACCGAGCGAGCTCGAGCGACAAACTGCTCGCTCGAGCGAAGGACCAAAATTCTGGGCAGCAACCATTTGCTCCCAAACACAACCAACCTATAACAAACCTGCCCATCTCATCCTATAACTCAAATAACAAGTATTGAAAGACGGAAACAAGACATAAACAACTACTAACATCTACGGAACCAAGTCCGGATCACTGTACAACAAGGGGTGAAACCCGGGATCGCTATAACAATAATAATAATAATATACTCAAAAGAAATTAAAAGAAGAAATTAAAAACCTCTTAGCTTAGAATAATCTTACCTTTTCTGTAACCATGTTACTCTTTCCACTAAAAGGTTCAGGTGTCATCCAAGGTAAGGTTCTACGAACACCCCCTGACACTAAAGTGTGCTATTTTACCTTTGATAAGCCAAGGTCACCAATCTGTATATGATACAATATTTGAATTTTTCCATCTTTTTTTGTTGTAATAAAGCCTTTCCATGAATTGAGAGTTCTGGGAGTTACTTTTTTTTTTCTTTTTGGGGACCGTGAACATGGCATTCCTAAAACACAGGATAATTACTTGTACTTTGTGACTTTTGTTCCCTTTAGGTGTGTTTGAATTTTTGGAAATGGGAGTGTGCTCTGCTTTGTTCTAAAAATGATCTTGTTTTACAGCCTTGATTTTCTTCTCAATAGTATAGTTATTTTTCTTATCAAAACATTGAACAAGGAAATATGGTGCACAAACAATATTCAATACTTAAATCCCACACAAAATGATGTGATAACAATAATTTTAAAGGTGAGAAATTTGACTTTTTAATTACAAAGTAGGGGAGTTACTTTTTTTTTTCTTTTTGGGGACCGTGAACATGGCATTCCTAAAACACAGGATAATTACTTGTACTTTGTGACTTTTGTTCCCTTTAGGTGTGTTTGAATTTTTGGAAATGGGTGTGTGCTCTGCTTTGTTCTAAGAATGATCTTGTTTTACAAGCCTTGATTTTCTTCTCAATAGTATAGTTATTTTTCTTATCAAAACATTGAACAAGGAAATATGGTGCAGAAACAATATTCAATACTTAAATCCCACACAAAATGATGTGATAATAATAATTTTAAAAGTGAGAAATTTGACTTTTTAATTACAAAGTAGAAAATATGTAAGTATACAAAACTTATATTATTATTGATGAAAAATCTCACCTTCAAGTTTTTCTGATTTTATTCATGACCTGGCCAAATATATGTAACTCCTTTGACAACCCAAATAAGAAAATTAAGAAAATAACTTTCAAAATATGCCAAAACTTGTGGAACATATATTATATTTCCATTTCCTTCATTGGTCAGTGTATTTGTCTTTTGTAGTTGCTATATATTTCCATTTCCTTTGGTAAAATTAAAGCTTAATCACATACAATCACCTACCCTTTTGCATATATCACCTATCATATAGCATTAAAGCTTGTTTCATCCTTCATGTTGATGCGCCGCCAACCTAGCAGTCTGGTTACAAGAAATATTTAGCACTGGACAGAATGGAAGTGCAGTTTAATAGGTTCAATCATGTTCTTCTATCATGCTCAAAATGACTGGTTGAACATGATAATAACAATAATCTTCTAAAATAAAAATTGAAAAAATATAAAAATGCTAGTTTAATTTGTTACAATGTTAAATTTTGAGATTTTATTTTATTTTATTTTATTTATTTTTTTAAGTTCCCAATTATTTTATTCCAATGCATTTCAAGTCACAGGATCACTAAATAACATTTCATGAACTCACACAAAGTTCCCAGGATCACTAAAACAGAAATCACAAAGTTCCCAAGTGGATTTTTTTTATATCAAAAAAGAGAAAAAAATTTATGAAGTGAAGTGTACAAGATTTGAATTTAAGATCTTGAGTTTAGAAAACAACACCCTTACCACTAGATCAACAAATACTACATAAATTTTTAATTCAAATTAAAATTTATATTTTACAAATTTAATAGCACACCCATGGGGCGAGCTTATACCCCTAGTGTGTATATATATATTGTGTCCAGATATTTAAGGGCTGGAGAATTGATGAGGCTGTGTAAAAAAGTGGGTGTGGAAAATTTTGACTTTTGGGCATTAAACACTTGGAAAAAGAGGCAGACCCCCAGGCCCCCAGTGGGGTGTGAATGGTGGATAATTTTTTTTTTTTCTTGGTCCACAGCCTCCCACATGGAGGTGGGGGTGCTGGGAGTCACCCCCCACTGGGGTTCCCCAGCACGGCTCTAAACACTTACATTATATACTTTCTTGGAAATTCTTGTGGATAAAAAATCATTGGTTTATTAGATCACCAAATGTAAAATTCATGATTACTGTCAGAAAAAGAAAAAAAAAAAAAAAAAAAAGGGAAGAGAAAAAAAGTGAAAGAAAGACAAACCAGTTTTGTCGATGGAAGAATCAACCAAAGGGGTCTGATGATCTTGACCTTCATCTCTCTCCCCCTCTCCCTCTCTCTCTCCCATGGACTTCTTCCAAACTGCCCTTCAATTCAAATTTACAAATTCAACAACAATAAACCCTTTTAGCATATATACATACACATATATATAGATGGTTGGTGGGTCTTACAAGTCATGATAGTGGACTACTTTTAGAGCCAGAGACAACGACAATCGGAGTCTTTGTGTTCCGTCAACGATGCCCCAATTTACTGTTTAAAGTCGTTCTAAAAACTGAAATAATCATACATGTAACAAATAATCATACATGTATCATGTTCAAAATGGACCAAAGAAGATTATTGTTTTCAGAAGATTAAAAATATGAGAATGGTGATGTCCATTGGTATCAGTAAACTGGACAGAAAAAGATGAGCAAAGAGGGAAAATTATAGAAGTATTACCAGTACCCATGATTCATCATTTTCCACATGTCCATGATTCTGATGGTGAGTTCTGTGGCTAATTCTCCTGTAATTATATATCAGTCATATGCACAAACACCATTTCTTCACAAACTCAATCTAGACTGATATACAAATATCAGAATCAAAGAGTTAAGATCAAGAACACACCATCCATGATAAGGCACAAGAATTGACGAATGCAGGGGATGTCCAACAACACTGTTCAACAAAGAGTCATCGGAAAAGCTTCCGTGGCCACTGCAGATTCAAAAAAAAAAAAACACACACAAAAATGAGCTTTCAAATTTAATTTCCATAATAGGAATTGTAAGCATGTTATGTATATTACCAATCATGACCAAGAACAAGCAGTGCCCAAAACATGGTCCCCGGGGCAGGCCAATAAAAAGGCCAAACAACCCAACTTTCAAAGAAATTTGCCAATGCAGCTAATCCAAAAACCATAATAACATCCCTAATTACATAACTGATAGATCGCCATGGGTTCTTGACCCAGCAATGGCAAGGAATGGCAGCTCGAATCTCCGCTATCCTGAACGGAGGCAGTGCCACGGGTTTTTGAATACAATTGTTAAAGATTAAACCTGCCTGGCAAAATCAGAAACAGAACATGTTATGTTTTGTGTAGATTTAAAGGATAATTTTGAATTCTGATTATTCTTTATGAATGAGATTATGCAATCATGAACATAAGAATATGGGGTTAACTCTTGAGTGTGAATTATGTGGGTATAGTTGCTTCCTTATCCGCTACAAGGAAGCAACTGTACTGATTTCTTGCATTTCTTGTGTATTTTGGATGCAGTGAAAAACAATAAAAAAATAGAAATTTAACAGAGAACAAGAAAGAGAGAACTTCAACATGAGCTTGGCATATAAACAAGGGGTACTTACATGTAGGTCTTAATAAGTGGATTTATTGTCTAGTAGGTTCTATGGAAAAAAAATTTCATAAAAAACAGTCACTAATTGTAAGTTTTAGTGACAATTTATAAAAATCATAACAAAAAAGTCACTAATTATTAATTTTTAGCGACATATATAAAAAGTTGAACACAAAAATTTTATTTTTAGTGACAATTTTACCAAAACTTATTTTCAAGAGGACTTGATGGGAATTAAGTCCAACTATTAGGATCTATTGATAGTTTATCCTATAAACAAACATGTAATATACACAAATAAATCCAAATATACATCCACACAAGATTTGAAGGTATAGAAAGTGAAGAGATTGGAGATCTGTACCTCCAGCTAAAGAGAATCTGAAAAAAGGAAAGTAACTGTATATATGGGATTGTAAATGGGTAAGTGTATATTCAGAGATCTTTCAACTTTTTCAACATAATAGATCAGAAAAGGATGCGTTCAGACACAAATCAACTCCTCATCCTCCTCCTCCTCTCTCTCTCACATCCGGACTTGAAGCAAAGACTTAAATCTAGTTCAATGAAGCAGAGAGTGAAGAAAAGAAGAAAAGGATGTGTTTAGTCACAAATCAACTTGTAGTTTCTTGCTTACAATTTCAATCTCAATAACCAAATCAAGAGAGACGGGAAGGAAGAGCTTGAGAGAGACAGAGAAATCGATACCTCACTGGTGTAGATGGTGATGACAGTGACGGTGGCGGTGCAGATGGTGGTGGCGGTGGAGCTTCAAAATCAAAATCGAAATAAGAGATTCAGATGAAATCGAAATTAGAGAAATCGAGCCGGTGAAGACGGTGGTGGCGGTGGAGCTTCGAAATTGAAATCGCTCTGTAAGAATGATAACAGTTTAGAGAGGGTTGAGAGAGACGAGATTTGAAGGCATGAGGATTCCAAATAAGGGTTTACAAAGGGCTTTAACAATTATTCTCTGATTCAAGATAGACTTTGAAATTGAGAGAGAGAATCACCGAGACATAAATTTCAAAATCGAAATCACCAAGATGAATCACCGAGATTGTATCATTTTGAGATGAATCAGCGGGAGATGAATCGATCCATTGAGAAGGTTTAGAGAAAGAGAGAGAGCGAACGAGAGACTAAGAGATTAGGGCTACAAAATGAGTGAGTGAGAGGGATTAGGGCTTCAAAGGGTTGCTCATTTAAGGGAGAGAGAGAGAGAGAGAGAGAGAGGCGCTTTTAAACGCTTGAAATGGTGCCGTTTTGATTTTTTAAAACGACGACGTTTGAGAAACGTCGTTAAATATTATAAAATGTGACGTTTAATAAAACGTCGTTAAATAAGTGTCGCCAAAACTCATTTTTCCGATAGTGATACTAGTATCTACGCGTGTTAAATATGAATTATAAAGGATTGTTTGGTATTTATTGTATTTGAATTGTAGTTGTGAATAGATTGTATGGAAGTTTTGATTATTTTTGTTTCTGGCCTCCTTTTCTAACCTGAAATGAAGAGTCTTTGATTAGTTTGTTACAATGTACTAATTCATAAAAATATAAATTTTTTCCTAGATATAATTAAGATTTGAATTATATGTATCAATCTTTCAAAATGCAGCCATACCTGGCACGCAAGTGGTGGTGAAAAAGCTACCTTGCCTGATCACAAGAAATTCCTCCAAGATGTTTTCGGCAGGTGTTAAATGTTTTGCCTTTTTATTTATTTAATGAAAAAGTAGTTGATCATTTAAATTTGTCTATGATAATTACATGTTCAATGGGATATTTTCAGTCGTGCATTTGAGTTAAGGCCACGGTTATCCCCATCAATGGCCATGTATTTGTTGTCTGACTGACAGAGGAGGAGGTGGATCTACTGGCTGGTTAGTTATATCTCTGTGTGTATGTTGTATGTGTGTATACTGAGTAATTTACTTTATTGGTTTTTAGGCAGGGATGAAGTATTGGAGATTAAAAGGTGGTATCCAACAGAATTGGTGTAGTAGAATATTTATCAATGAATGTTAACATAAATATCCATTAGAATATGTACTCTAATGGTCTTGTTATCTGTAAGGTTAATAGATCTGTAATTAAGTCACACCATGAGCTGGCAAGACATGTAAACAATTATTCCCAATGTATATATATCTGTTTTTTCCATTATATATATGTTTTTCCGTTTTAGTTAATGGTTGTATGGTAGATATATTTAGTTATCCACTACTAGAAATTAGACTTTTTGCGTCTATTTTTTTGCGACTGATTATTTAACCGTCGCAAAAAATCACTTTTTACACCAAACTGTCATTTTATTTAAACCCCCAAATCGTGTTCTTAACTTAAACAAAAAAAAAAAAGGAAGGAAAAAATCGATTTCGGTTCTCTTTCAATTTCCCAAATCGATCCCTTATTTCCCAACAAACGATTGACCTAAGGACCGACCTCCAACGGTATCTATCCCGTATTTCCCAAATCGATTTCCCAAATCGATCCCTTATCTCTTTCAGCCCTATCTATCCCTTATTTCCCAAATCGATTTCACTCTCTTCATTGAAGACCGACCTCTAACGGTATGAGAAACTATTTGATTCTTTACCTATTCAATATAAGATTAGTTAATGGGTCAGTTTGAAAAATAAATAATTTAATAGTTGTAGAATATTATTATTGTCAGACTTAAACATAACTAAAATAATAAAGATTTGGATAATTTTGTTATTTTTTGCGATGCAAATTTACTTATAGGTTAAGATAAATGACTTTTAACTTTTTCTCCCATATATGTATTATAGACCAGCAAGGAGATTTGTATTGCTTATCTGCTCCTAGTTCTAGTATTTTTATGCCATAGCAATTCGAAATAGATCTATATCAAAGATGTACTATTAAAATAATGGTATTCATTATTATGGTCAATAACATTGTTACATTAAGGTTTATTTTGGGAATATGGTAAAAAATGGTTTTTTTGGCTGTTAACCAAACATTTTTGCTTATTCAAAAAGTCGTTTGGGAAGTTGGGTAAAAAGTTATTTTTGGCTTTTTTAGTTAATAATTTTTAATGTTGTCACATCATCACGCCATAATGTAAAATGACTAAAATACCCCCTCCCCATTTGCAATTTATAGAATTTCACCTCCTCTCAACGTCTAGCTCCTTAACAGAATAAAATGATTCAAGTTAATGACTCATTGTTTTTGTTGTTCACAAGCAGAAATAGCTAATCTGAAAGGGGTTTCCATATGTCGCAAGACTAAGAGCACCCCTAATAAAGTTCCAGTAAAATTTTTTCATTGCAAAAAAGGCCAACAGAAGTAGCAAAAAAAAAAAAAACAAAGCACACTAGGTGGGAAGATGGCAATCGGACAAAATACGTTTACCCTAAAAATTCCCAAAAAAAAGAAAAAGAAAAAAGAGTAGCAGATGGCAGTCGGAAAGCCAAATAACACTTGTAATGTCATAAACGCAACTGATAACTAACAGATCTATTTGCAATTTAACAGTTTCCAAACAATGGGTTGCAAATCACTGGTAGCAGAAAATCGGCGGAAGGAAGAGGCTTACATGATTGTGTACTTCAACCGAGGAAGACGACCTGGTAGAGGGAAGTCGGTGGCGATGTCAATGGCCGACGCTAGAAACGAGTTTTCTGCGGCGTCCACAGTAGCAGTGCGAACACGATTTGAGAGAGAGAAAAGAACAAGAGCCGTGAGATGCGAAATGGTGAAGTGTTTAGTCTCAGCAAACCCTAAGTGAATGGAGGGTATAATCGTAAATTGCAATATGGCGTTTATCCAGCTTTCCAAATGGGTTTTAGAACAAAAACGCCACGTTTGGCTATTTCATCAAACACCCAAACGCAGCTACAAACCACGTCCCCAAAAAAAGCCTAAGTGAAGGTAAGGTAGAGAAAGAGAGTGATGTGAACCCTTGGTAGGTGTTCACGGGTGGGAATAAGTCACCGAATAAAATGTAGTGGGCTAGGAAATTATGCCATATTATGGGTGATTTGGGATGTCCTAAATAAATATATTTTTTGACTTTTTATGAAATATAAATTGAGTTTGAAGTGATGTAATAATTTTTTTTTGACTTTTTGAATTCTTTAATTTATACCAAACAAGGCCTTAGTAAGTGATCTGTGCGATTGCACGAGAATTTATTTTTAAAATAAAAAATTAATTAATATTTTATGTGTAAAAAATTTAATAATTGAAAGTTAAATATAAATAGATTTGTTAATAATTGATGAAAATTATTTTTACATCTTAAGTAAAATAGGTTTATAAAAATAATTTCTTTCAAAGTAAAGAAAAAAGAAAAAAAAAAAGAGTGTATTCTCAATCTAAAATCAAATTCTCATTTGTGTTAATAAAATTTGCTAAAAATCATAAATTCCACGTGTATTAAAAGATTTTTTTCCTAAAAATAATAATAAAAACAATTGAAAGTTTTATAATATTCAAATTATAACTTGATTATAATTTATGGTGTATTATTTTGATTATTAATCAAAAATATATTTGCTAATTTTTTATATGAGAATATTTAAATATTTTATTATATGAAAAAATACTTCAAGCAAGTTGACTCAAAGGTAGGATTTTTGCTTATATCACTCAGACCATTTCTCGAAAAGATAATCCTTTTATCGCTTTTTCTTTCATTATAATTTATCTGTTTTACAAAGACGTTTGACTTTGCACATCAAAATGCTATGGAACACAGCAACACCATGCAAGTTATACTATTTGTGAGTTTGATTATCACAAATAATATAACTCAATATTACGTTGTGTTTGGTTGAGGGATTTGTGAAAGAATTTAAAAAATGAAAGGAAAATATGTGTGAAATTAGGTGAAATGTAAGTATATTTTATTCACATTTTACCTTCCTTTTCCATTTTTCTTTCCAAATCATTTCCCAAATCCCCCAATCAAACACAGCGTTAATAAATTGATAACATCACATAAGATATAACCAAACAACTCTTAAATCAAAAAAAAAAAATAATAATGTCATAACCAAAATCACAATGTGTCATAAATAATAACACAATATGTCACAATCAAAGAAATAAAAATTATAACTAAATGTGCATATGATACATAGCTCAAAACAATTTTCTGAATTAGTTTGGATACTTGATTAGTGGATAAGATTTTCAATCATGTTAAAAAAGAATTAAACCTTCAAAATAAATAAATACTTACTTCTAATTGAACATTCCAAAAGCGGTCTCATCTCTGGAATTCTTAATTTGATAAAATTCTATTAATTCCATAGAAACATACGCTTATTATATTAGTTTTTTTTTTTTTTTTTTTCATTTAATTTTGGATTTTGCTTACAGGGATTCTCAATTAATCGATTCTGTCACACCCCCAAAATATAACTACAAGTTCAACCTAAAATCATACATGAATAACTGCATGAATTAGAGTGTAAAATCCTTTCATTTCATAAGTTAATAGTACAAAAGAGTTTAACATAAATAAGTGCCTTGAAGGCTTACACCTTTCCAAGTCTTGACTTGGTTACAACAAAAGTGAGACTAGCTCATACAATTAAAGTCCTAGGCTATAATATATGAAACAAAACAAAGAAGCTCTTACTTCCCAGAAGTCCTTCAAATGCTATTGCCTTGGTGGAGGCAAGCCATCCCAAATAGGGTGAGCCACAGCCTAGTAGGAACAATCTAACACAGTATATGAGATTTAACAAAGATATAAGTGCCATATGCATAAACAATGCTTGTGACAAACATTCACAATTTATATAGTCATAGGGCATCAAATCCAAATCTCAATCTATTTCCATTCAATTTATTTCTAGTTCATTTAATCTTCTCAATGCACGAGTCAAGTCCATAATCTTTCAACAACCAAATTGAGACTACAACTCATTGGTTTTCCAATCATATAAAACACACATAAACACTTCAATCTGCCATTTTACGGATATTTCGTCTGCGAGATCGGCATCCATGTATAAATTTCGAGACTTTCACCCAGGACACTCCGGCCAACTTAATTATAATGGAATCCATTCCCTTTCTCCTCCCAAACAGTGGAGTCCATCCCTTTTCTCCTTTCAAAGAAACATACATATACAATATATTAAACACATAATCATACATGGAGTACATCCCCTTTCTCCTCCAAAACAATTATACATATGCAATGTCTTTGCAACATGATGATATACAATGATAACCAACCATGGATTAGTTTTAATTCACCTAATCTTCATGCAATTTCTATAACAATCATAGTTATCCTCCACCGATAGCCCAATTCAGTTATTTCTAAACAAATATACAAACCCAAGACAGATAATTTATTCAAAATTTTCAAAGATGAGGCGTATCATCTACTCACATCCACTATTTATTTCAAAACTCGTTCAGTTTCATACTCACAACATCAATTTCATTTACTTATCCAAAATAAATATTATGATCATTTTAGGGCAAACCCCCTTTTTTCTTAAGTATCAACCAAGTATCAAAATCATCTATTTTGATTCCATACAACATCATTTTCAAACTCCACAATCATTTATCCCTCACTTATCAAAACCCCTATTTTCATTTTACACCCAAATCCTAGGTTTGTTCACATTACCCCCAATCCCACCATTGTTACACAATGACAAATAACTAAGTTAAAAACCGTATTAAAGTGTAGAAAATCCCTACCTCAAGAAGAGAAGATGAGCAAGCAAAGGTGGAACTCTAAAGACGCTTAAACCCAACTTTATTCGGTTCAAAATGAAGAACTTGAGATGGTCTATCTTTTTAACAAAGAGATTAGGGTGAGGAAATCACTAGAACTAGATAAAAATATAGAGAGATGAAGTATTTTAGAGAGAGAAGGTCTCACTTTAGGGTTTTGAAGTAAATAGATCTGAAAAAGTGATGTAAAAAGTCATTTTTGCGATCTGATATATGCACAGTCCGCTCGCGCGGAAGAGTTCACGCTCGAGCGTTAGACACAAAAAAAGTTGTTCCGCTTGAGCGCAATAAAGGCTGCTCGAGCGCTAAGACACAACGAACACTCCCTACTCGAGGGCAAGAATTCTCCGCTCGAGTGTAGAAAATACTCATCTAGAAGTTTTGCAGACAACAAGCCAACGCTCGAGCGCAAACCCGTTCGAGCGTAGAAAACACCCTCCCAGTAGTTTTGCAAACCTGCAAAGTACTGAGAGTTCACAAATCTCGCTTGAGCACAAGAATGGGCGCTTGAGTGGAGGAGCAAAAATTACAAAGCCTGTTCCAGCGGAGGAGCAAAATTCTGGGCAACATAATGTTTGAAAAATTGATGACCAACCTGCCTAAACACAATCACAACAATCCAAGAGCCAATTTCCATGGCATATAAGGGGAGAAAGAGGTAAACAGTATGAAAGCATAAACCCAAGTCCGAGATACCACAAGAGTTGGGTCAAAACCATGATCACTATAACCTTTCCCCCTTAAAGAATTTTGTTCCCGAAATTTCAAATCACATTTCAAAATCATGTTTTTAAACAAATTTCCACAATAATCACGAGTCAAATTTCAACACCATGACCCATTTACCTGTAATAACCCAACCCTCCCATGTATTCCCGGTATATTTTCTGTCCCTCATTATGCGTATTTATATGCTTATTGTGACATTCCACGTGGAATTAAGTTTAATGAAGTGAACCTTATGATTATAGATTCATATCTGTTTAATAAGAAATCATATCTGTCACAATTAAAATGTTTGGATCTAGAATTGAAAGCCTTAAGAGCTTATATGTGAGATCAGCATAATTTTTAAGTCATAATAGGCATTTTTGTGAAAATTTGAATTGGGATGATTAAAACGATTAAGTTTTGTCTTATTCCACTTTATATATATATATATATATATATATAATCCCAAATATTTGACTTGGAGCTTTATGCAAAAATATCCTAAGAGAGAGAGAAAAGAGAAGGGTTAGAGAGGAGAAGCAAAGTTCTTCAAGGAAAAATTGGGGAAAGCTAGAGGATTGTAGGGAATTTGACTCAAGGTATGTCTACCCATTTCTAATTGACCCTCTCATTGAATAAAGAAGAAATTCCTCTATGTTCTTGTGTTAAGTGCTTAATTAAGTTATTCTCTTTTGTATTGAATTGATTTGGAATTGTGTGGAATTATCTAATGAGAGGTCCAACCTATTTCCTCAATTATCAACTTGAACCCATCTATATGGATATATGGTTGCATGTGTGTGTGTATGTGGGTGTAGATGTGTGAGGGAATTAGAAGTATTGTGGAATTGGGTTATGTTTATAAACTTTAAAGATTAAGATCCAAGTTAGATTGAGATTACATAATGTTTATATACATGATTCTGAACCATATGTCATCAATTAAAGAACCTATTTTGAGCCTTAGAAAAGTGTACCAAAAATTGGGTTTTGCTGAATTTGCAAACTGCTTTCTATCCAAAATCGCCGCATGTGCGGGGATCACTGCCGTACGTGTGGGAAGCCTTGCCGCACGTGTGGGGCTCACAGCCGCACGTGCGGCCCAAACTGCAAAATTTTGTTCGCTCCGTTTTGCGTGCTTAACCCTCTGGTATTTTTGAAATATGTGTTTGATGTCTCTAAGATGCCTGTAAATTCATTCGAAGTAAAATGATGCAGGAAATAATGAAAGAAAGAACAAGAACTAATGTATAAGTTATGCACATGTGTAGGTCATAACTCGGGAGGGTCAAGCACTCCGCTATAGCACTGTGAGTAATAGTATTGTAATTGCACATTTGATTACTGTTAATAATTCTTTTTATTAACGCTTTGCTCTTCACAAGTAGTTATGTTAACCTTATGTTGATTGGGAATCAGTGTGACCATTGAAAGATTTTGGCGTACATCAGTA